AAAAATCGAAATCGCAATTTTTACCAAAATTTTACATTGTGAAGGTCCACCATCCCTCGAAAACTCCTTAGATGAAGTATAAAAAAAAACGAAACGAAACATACAGTGGTTCCGACAAACTACTATGTATTATCTCATGCATTTTTTTCTTTTAACACGAAACAAAAATAGCTTAACACGAGAACATTTCTCTTTTGGGAATAAACAAAATACGGAAAACACCAGACATATAATGAAATGTATGAAAACTTCTCTGTATTATTGGACTGCTTTACTGAATCACTGGAAGAGAATTCGTTTCAGTAGATGATGATAATGTACGTACAGCCCCAATTATGACAAAGGCATTTTGTAGTTTGTTCAAAGCTGAAAAAATATCGTTGATGCAGATTACGGCGAGTGAGTGAGTGAATCTTGTCGCACTGTTCAGCTACACGAGAGCTTTTGGCAGATTACGGCGAAGAAAATAAAATAAATCGTGTAGTTTTCATATCTCCATGCATTTTTTTCTCTTAGCACAAAATGAAAATCGCTTAACACCAAAAGATTTCTCTTCTGGGAATGGACAAATTGCAGAAAAATCAGCCACACACGCGGGATTTAAGAGATATGGGAGAGTTCAGGAAGAGAGTTGGTTTTACATGTTTCGTTGAATGGAGGCTAACTTAGCTTTGAAATACCTTTGGAATTGCCTGTGACACGAGCCAATTTTGTTTATCGCGAAGCTACTTTCACCTTCCATCCCTACAAACACCACACAAAAGCATCCGAAATGAGGAACATAATGAAAAGTATGCGCCGTTGTTTAGACGCATATTTGAATGGTGAAATGAATGACAAAATGGTTGACATCGAAAAATTTGTTGACAATTTGTTGCTAAAAACGCAATGCAGAGAAAATATCAGATTATTTTCCTAAAACTCAAATATTTTGTTTTTCAAAAAACTTGAACTTTTTGTGTTAAATGTGTTTAAAATCTCTTAAATGTGTTTTTCTTTGGTTTTTAATAAGCGCAAGCAAATATACATATCTAAGTAAATAAAATGTACTCTAATAAACTTAATTTTCTTGAATATACATACATATATATAGGTATGCAATATCCTTTCACACGGAAAATTACTTCAGTCCCCCTTAGTTTCGCGATTTTCACTGTACTGCATTTTTTGCAGAGAACACTCAATTCATGAGAATTACAATTTCATTGATATACAATTATGCAAGTAACAAATGAATACAAAAGATGAAGTGAAAAAATAAAATAAAGGATGTTAAAAATAAAAAATGCTTCTAAAAAGCCATAAATATTGATATGTAAATCTGTTTACGCGAAGAATAAAAAAAACTTATATAAGATCAAACATTCCAAATACCTGTAATATGACAGTCGATTTAGTGCGATCCGGCAGCTATATTCTTTCACCTTATCTTCTCAAGGAAGCTGAAATATACAGTATTGTAGATTTTAATGAACTTACTCAATATATAACATTCTCTTACTTGAGTTTAAATTGCAATGTTTATTAGTACAATTTTCTATTTACATACGGTTAAAATCAGAACCACATACATATTTAAGTTAATTTTCAACTCAATTTACTTCTTCTGTGGGAAAGATGGTTTTTACTTCAGTTCTGTTCAGTGACAGATAATTATCAACAGTTATTACCTAGGGAGTGTTTATTAACGTCGCACACTGTAGTAACATGAGGGCTTTTAGCGACAGACCTCGTAATTTTGATACTCGATAGAATGACGAAGATGACACTCGAGCTTGCTCCTCCATCCCCTAACTTCCCAACCACACCGCTGGAAGATGTTTGATCATAAACATATTTAACGTGCATTCGCCCTCTCTACAAAATGCATCTTCAGCGGTAATAGGCTCGAACTCATGATAAGTCAGTCACGTAACTGTGTCCTTCACTATTAGGCCCCCGCATTATTACCAAAAAAAAGAAAGAAACCAAGCTGCACCATAGTCTCTTTAATATACGAGAGAGGAAAGATATATATATATATTTATATACACGATCTAGAAAAAAGTTTTGTAAGTTGATTGCCTTATTTTTCTTCGCTCAGCCAATGGGTTTGGTAAAGTACATTGCAATTTGGATCCACGAGGGCTTTTGGCGACGGACTCCGTCATTTTGAACTATCGTCAAGTGACAAGGATGACACCTGACCTGGCCCCTGTCCTAACTACAACACTACACCGAAGGGAGGATGTTCGAGCTCTCTACAGATTTAACGTGCATTGCTTCCCTACACGGTGGCTCTTCAGCGGTACTAGGCTCGAACTCATGACAAGTTACCTTTACCACTATGCCTTAAACTTGACCACTCTAAAAAGTACAGATCATCAGAGAATTGAATCTTTTGGAGATATTACTTTGATAAAAAAGTCAAGCATTTTCGGTCGTTTAAAGAAGTTTACGTGGGTCATTTCAAAGACATTTACATGGTTAAAAGTGCTATACACTGTTTTATTTATTGCCTAAAATTTGGCGTTTATATAAAAGCAGAAAACAAATTCATTTACAAGAAATTAAGAATTTCAATAAAACGCATTTCCATTTTGCAATCGAAGCTTTATACCTTCTACTCTACGTTATATATTAATAATTCAAGATTCATGCGAATAATATATTAAATGGTAATTTCTTTGAATAAAATAAATTACTTCTCGAGTAGAGATTTTATAATCCCCACAATTTGACAAACCCTGAACACATGTCATGCGTTGACGGGACTTAAACTCATACTCCTTTCTAAGATATCTTAGTAATTACCGGAAAACAGAAACCACTCCTACCACTAAAAAGTAATACAATCAACGCACACAGCAATGAAAACCGTTCGTTCTTCTAAATAATTTATTCAAAACATTTTTTAAACAGGCAATTTTCCGAAAAACAGCTCTGCGCGAAGCGAAAAACCAAACACAAACGCCTGCATTTAATAAGTACACACACAATCCTTCCTATACACGCAATTAGGCATGCCTGACCACCACCCCAACCTTCCAGAGGGAGCATCAGACCCCCAACTGCGCGTTGCCCACATGTCACAACTGCAGTGGCGGCGCCTTCTAATAAATCGCGCCCCGACAAGCCCTGGCTACCGCTTGATAAGCCAACGCCCTTGGCGCACGCTCGAGCAACAAGCAAAGCAAGAAAATGCGACTTAGGGCTACTCTCTGCTGTCTCTAAAACTGGAAGAGATTTCGAAAAGGCCAAAGATAAGGTTAAGGAAGATGGCAGCAGCTTCGACAGATTTACGCAGCTTGACGATTTACATGGGGATTTTTCGCGGAATGGGTCCGCCTACAATTTTTTTACGTGGAAGTTTTGCTGGCTCCTAGAGGCACGATTTTCTTGGTGAGGTAACTTTCCGTAGCTGAAGGGTGACCTTCGGTTTTGGAATAGGATACACTGTATAAATATAATGTACTTTTTTTTTGGCTACACAGTGTTTTATTTCATTCTTTCTGGGACTTATCTATTTCGGTGTCTGATTCGCTTTATTTTATTCGGCTGTGGCACATCTTTCTGTAGACGAGGATGTCTGGATTCGCCTTGGCAGACGGTTTTTGCGGAATAGATGACGGTGTTTTCAAATTTCGAATGAGAATTTTTTTTAGATATCTTCTGTGTTTAAAACAAGTAACATATACAAATATTTTTTAAAGTCAATTCCTACGAAGGTTAATAAAGAATTTTTTTTTTATTTTAGTTACGTTTTATTAAATAGTTACAATTAATATAAATACGTATATGCATAGGACAGAATCACACTGTTAAGTGACACAATGGAAAGCGATTTTCCATTTTCCATTCTATATAGTGTGTTGAACTATGTTTTGTTTGTTTTTGTTTCTATTTATTCATTAATTAAATTTAATTATTCTAACAAAATAGTGTAGTAAAAAGGAAACCACAATCTCAGAAACGAGGCCATTTCAGGTGGGATTCGAACCCACAACCTTTGAATTAGAAGTCCAACGCGCTATCCGTTGCGTTACAGGGACACAATGAGCGACTTTCCTTTTTGTATAGGATGTTGGACTATTACGTTTGGTTTTTTACTATTTATTCATTAACATGAAGTGGCATTCACTACAAGTTCAAAAAAGTGTAAGTGAATTTGAAAGGATGAATAGAAAATATTTTATTAACGATTGAAAATTTGAACAAAGTATATATATCTACCTTATATTCAAATTTTCAATCGTTAATATTATATATATATATATATATATATATATATATATATATATATATATATATATATATATATATATATATATATATATATATAGGGAGAGAGTGAACTAATATATTAGGAATTGAAAAAAAAATATATTATGCATATACAAAAAGTTTAGTGATTATTGTCCGCCTCGTGACGGTTTTATTTTGCATAGATATGCTGTCAGAACTCTATTTAAGGAAGTTGCTAAACCCTGAAAAAAAGTTCATTAGTAGAAAATTCGTTAAACAGAAAGTTGTTTCTCAATATACCTCACACAATATAAATAACCACACAATACAAATTTTAAATTCATACACACACTGTATGTTGTAAAAAAAGATTAATTTTAAAAAGATTGTGAATAATTATACCTATTTATTTTACACATCTCACCTACCAAAAAGAAATCTGCAATTAAAGCAAGAGAAAAACATTTTCCAGGAATGCACACTATTTTATGTTGAAATTAATGAATTTTAACGGCATTTTTTAATTTCAAGCGTATAAGTAATTTTAAACTTACGTTATTTTATAACCAGTTGTTGTGATCGTGTGTTTTTATCCTGGGATACATATGAAATACAAGTGGAAGAACAGAAACATACAGTACAAACAGAACAATATAGACATTTATTACACTTGAGGATGCCAACATACAACAAGAAGGGGTGCGCTGCTTTCCATTCGAGACAGGAATCCATTGCAGGTGAAAGTCCGAGTTCTTTTTCAGAAGAAAGTACATTCATGCCTTATTCGGGATTCGAACCCGAGCCCCTTGGTTACAAGCCAAAAGTCATATCCACCCTATTGGCTGGACGGCATTTTATAACCAGGAGTTTAAAGCATACATTAACACAAGTGTTCGTAAATTTAATTACTGATAAAATCTGATAATCTGTTTGAGTTTTTTGTTTGAAAAAAACGAAATGCTCATAATTAGGACAATTTTATTTCTCCAGGTCAGTTAAGCACCTGCTTAAGGCCATTGATCACCAAAAAATGTGTTAAAAGAGAGAACAGTTTGAAATATTAGAAATATTTTAAATGTAGTGAGATAAAAAATCGATTACCAAGGGGAAAAAAGTTCATTAAATAGAAAATGAATTTGTCTATTTACCGAAGATAATTGTAAAATAGTCTTGGTTACAGGAAAAAGTTCAAAAATTAGAGAAATTCTCAAAAGAGAGGTTCGTAAAATGGAGAATCAACTGCATTTTATTAACCCTTTTGAGATATTCAGTTTTTTTATATGCCTCTCTTCCTCTTCTCAGCAGTTTGATATATGTATTATTTTAAAAGCTGCCAAGAGGGAGATATCAGATCAGATGTCCTTGTCACTTGAACGTGGCTCATATTTTTGAGACCTGTTACCAATAAACCTCACGTTACTTTAGTGAATGAGCTGTGACGTCGCACTATTCAGCTACTCGAGGGCTTTGAGTGAAGGACGTCATTTTCAACAATGGTTAAGTGACTAGGTTGACACCCCCTCACCTAACTACCACACCATACCAAGGGGAGGACGTTTGAGCCTCAACAGATTTAACGGGCATCGCCCCATACACGGCGGGTCTTCAGCGGTACCAGGCTCGAACTCATGACACTCTGGCCACGAGTCCGTTACCTTGACCAATAGGCTACCGCGGCCACTCGCGTTGCTTCAAAGAGCGATTTAAATTAAAATGTATCGATCGGGAATAAATGTCTGGTACTGTTGAAAAAAAGAGAGGAGAACCTTAAGCTCTCGACACAAAACAGAATCTGTCAAGGCAGACACAGTTTCACCTTAAACAGGTGTTTATGTCTTGGAGACGTCAAAATTTATAATGGCATGTGAAGTGAACGAGGACGTCATTATGTGTGTGTCAGGTGTTAATATTCTTTTACTTTCGGAGACGTGGTTTTTAAAAAAAGTGCGTAAAGGATTTTTTTTTTGTTTTTAAGATCACTCTGAAATAAAATACAGAAAATTAGTTTTAAGAACATTATTATGATATAAAATGATTTAAATGCACTATTTTGGCAAAGCAAGAATAAGGAAAAAAAAGGCCTTTAAATAATTCTTTAGTCATAATTATATTCTCAAAACAATTTTATATGTATATTGTAATTCTACTGACACTAAATAGGAAAAAAAGTATTCATTCATACATTTTATCAAAATCAAGATTCCGAATGTAGTCAGTAATCTTAAGTATTAATATTTATTTGTATTGAACCCTAAATATAATAATGTTTTAGCCTGCTATTTTTTTTAAATGTACTCTGAGAGCGTGTTTGGATACCTTAACAACATTGCAAAATTTAATTATTTTTCTGTACTTTCTATAATTCGTAATAGTTCCATGTATTAACGCTAAGAATAAAAGAACTCTATATCGAGTCATTATTAACGTTTTAAAGTATCTGAAAACGTTCGGAGAACTTTTTTTTTTAAAAAATAACATACTAAAACATTACAAATGCTTTTTTAGGAATTAATACAAATGAATACTAATATTTATAACTAACAATGTTTAAATAAAATATCTAAATTTTACCAAAATCATGTAATTATAAGTGAAAATTTAGCAATATTTTTGAAAAAGTTCAAAGCAATTAGAGAAAAAAGTAATAAACTCATATTAGTAAAGTATCACTAAAACAAATTAGATGCATTTATCTAGAGAGAATGAACTAAAATTTTCATGTTTTGTTAACATTTAAAAATTATAAGAAATGGAACATTCTTTATAAGACCATTATTTAAATAACAAGCGATAGCTCAAAAATATTTGTACAATAAGAAATATTTTAGAACATTTTCTAGAAAATAACATGAACATTAGGCTGAAAAAGTTTTATCGAAATACATTTATAACACCTTAAGTTATTAGACCTGCTCTGATAGTTCCTGAAAACTTCAAAGCCCCACTTACGGTTTTTCTTATTTTATAAATTTGATTGTAACTTGGCCTTTATAGGTAGCGTTAAAACAAAAAAGTATGCTTTATAGAGTCAAAAGATAGCTCTATTGAATAAAATAAAAAACGAAAAAGGTGTGTTTGGGCCGAATTTCCTCTTTTCAACGAGTTTGGATACCTTCAGAATGTTTTCTGTAACACATTAAGCCCAATCTCATGAAAAATTTCACCGAGCGGGAGTACGATAAGGGGTTAAGGAAAGTACGTGAAGGCAGGATCGGACCTATAAATAAAAGCCTCCCTCCACCTTCTGGCGTGCGGAGCAACAGTTTATTTGGCAAATTACGGCTGGGGCTTCTTCTTGGACAGCGATTAGTTCCGGCTTGGTTCCGGGGCGGTCTCTTGTGAAGTGGCATGGGGCGCCCCGCGGTGCCAAATGGTTTCTTCTCCGCTGATTCCAGGAACCCAGACCCGGATCTGTGGTTTCGCTCCACCTGGCTCGGGGTTTAAATACCCACACTCATTGACACATGAGCGAGGATTGTTTTGCGGCTGATGCCTTCTTAATTTCGCCAACAGAGAACAGCGTCTAAATGGCGTTTCAAGAGGGTCGAGATTTATTTCTAGCCTATGCTTGCAATGCTGTAGGAGTACTTTTTTCTCCCCCGGCTCATTACATTAAAGTCAGTGGTCTTCAAACTTTTTCGACTCACAGAACCCTTAGAACTATATGGAGGTTTTGGGGAACCCCACTTCCCACTGAACTTCCCACAGAAAAATCAAAGGATATCTCTTAAAAGAGTATTTAAAGGGGATCATTATGTTATGGGTACATAGTGTATAAAACAGAAAAAAAATTGTATTTTTTATTGCAATTTTTTAACATAATATATTAATGCATTTTATTCATTCATATGTACTCTCTCTATATGTAAGTGTCGCTTATTTATGCATTATATTTAATAACCGGGATATGCATTTGTGTGCATTTTTTATACAAACTACTGAAGTCTAGTTATATTGAAACTATCTATTTCATATTTTGCGCTTATTTGTTTCTATATTTAGTTTTTCTTGCCACATACGTTGAGAAATATTTTTAACTTAAATACACTGTTCAGAATCGCATTTTTTAATAAAAAATTTTAAAGTAGTTTTTTAATGTCTTAATAATATTTCATATCCAAATGTCCCCCACGCATGCGTTAGTAACTGGGATACGTGTTTGGATTTTTTTTTAAAAATTGCACAAGTCTGTCTATTGAAATTATCTTCGGATGTATTTCACTGCGTATAATAATGCATTTATCCGACTATGTTCGGAACCACGATTTTAAAAAAATCGCATAAATAGACAATTTCATGATATTTAGTGTCACTTAGATTAGAATGCATGTATAAAATTGTTTTAAGGACATTTTGACAAAAAAAGTTATTTAAATACAATATTTTGGCAAAAAATTAACTTATAATAAGTTTTATTCAAAACGTTCTCCTTTTATAAAAAATGCTTCTAAAATAATAATATTTTGCTTAGATAAAGTAAAGACTTCTCCAGAGAGTCTGAACTATTTTTTTGAAAAACATTATTTTCAGAGTTACAAACCATTGAAATAATTATCGGCGTTTTTTTTCTTAAAATTTCTCCCCTCTGTTGTCGTAAAACATGGATATAAACCCACTTTTAAGTTATATATTTCAAAAATTCTAGTTGAGCCTCTTTGCCGAGGTTTGAGCTATATACCGGCAAAATATTATTATAGTAGAATCATTTTTCACAAAAGGAGAATATTGTGAAAATTGGCCATTCTCTGTTCATTTTTTGTCAAAATATTGTACTTAAATAATTTTTGATTGTAATAATATTCTTAAAACAATTTTACATACATTTTCTAATTTAAGTGACACTAAATATCATAAATATTATCCATTTATACGCTTTTACAAAATCACGGTTCCGAACGTAGTCGGATACCTTAAAGCGTTCATTACACAAAATTTGTAACACAATGCTCTACTTTTGCTGAGCAGAGATCAACTTAGGAAGGTGTTTTCCAAAATCGACTCACAAGAATAAGCGCTATGAGTAAAAAAAAATCCTTTTTTATTAGCTATTAGATCTACAAACTTAAAATTTAAAAAAGATGAGTTTTCGTTCAGCTGAGATATGCAAGCAGTTTTTTTTTGTTTAATTCGCAATTCACATAGAACGAACTCATTAAAAATTTCTTTATATCATTCGATCTGTATTGTTTAAATTTTCAATTCACCCGTGCGAAGAACGGGTATATCAGCTAGTATAATATATTTATAAATGTATCAATACTGTACAATGTATTTTATAATTAATTTAACAGTATCAAGTTAAGAGCAAGTTTATTAATTATCAGTAACTTCATGGGCTATTTATTTATAAAATTAAGTTCAAAATCCAATACTTATCTTGATCATTTGTACGGTTTATAATGAAAGTCGTATTGTATTTTTACGTCAAAGTACATTCTTTTTGAGTTCAATACATTGTTATTGTAGGGAGGCGAGGGGCGAATAAAGTTATGATTGAAAATTCTGTCGCAAATATTGCAAGCTTGAGAAGCTCTGTTGTAGCACAACTGTCGGTTTCGATTCAAATGAAGACGTTCATTATTAACAGCCTCAGTTTCTTTCTTTCTTTTGTTATAAAATCTGTTATTTTAGCGGTTGTTTTTTGATTTCTCAAGCTGCTTGTATAATTTTCAATATCTTGCCACAGAAAACACGCTGTATGTCAGGATCGTAATTCAGAAAATGTTGTTCCATATTTGAAGCCCTCACGAGTTAAAGCAGCTGTTAATATCTGAACTTAGACTTCTTTATTACTGTTACGTTGATAGGGGTTCGAGGATTTTATGCAAATCATGCAGGACAGTGCTTTGTC